GCCGGCCGGCCACTGATGCAAAATTCAGTAGTGTGTTCTTTGACTAGAACAGAGCTATTCTGGAAGTGGGCAAAGGTGTTAGTGTTCTATTGTGTAACAAAGGCTCTCTGGAAGCAAAACAGTGGCTTTTCGAGTGGAAACCGAGCGCGTGCATGAGCATTCCTCGCATATCAAGCATGTTTAAGTTTAAATATTTAGTTTAGATATTTGTTGTAATTAATTAGTTATAGCTAGTTAATTTTTTAAAGTGTTGTAATTAATTAGTTAGTTAACTAGCTATTCGATTTCGTCTTGTAATTGTTTTAGTTGACTAGTTAGTTAATTAATTTGTTGTAATAATTAGTTAAGTGGTTTAGCTAATTTAATTTGCTTTGTAATAATTAGCTTAGCTTAGTTAGCTAGTTGATTAGCTTAATTCATTTGGACTCTCTTTCGTGAGAGCGCAATACTGTAATAATGTGTATGTCTTCCAACCCTACGTCTTTCTCCCTTTTATTTAAACTACTTATGATGGTTAGTTTAGGGACATCATGTTTCGTTTAGCATTACTCATGCTTGCATCCATTGTATTGCATGCACTGAGGCTCTGCGCATCATTCTAACTTGCATTGTTAGTTTAATACTTCTTTGAATATGTGCTCAGACCACATGTTGTCAAATTGTTTCGTATGCCATGTTTAGTAGCCGAGCCTATTAGTTGCATATTGCATGTGTTGCATTGGTCATATCGCATAATTAGGACTCATGCATTTTTCTAATTCTTTTGTTTGTTGTGGCTTGGAGTACTAGGTGAGCCTTTACTCACTTTAGCATATTGCATGTGTGTGAGTGTTGCTATGTCTAGCATGCTTTCCATGAGGCTAAGTGCTTAATTGCTATAAACTGCTTGAATGCCTGTGAATGAAAGCTAATTTCTTGAATTGGAATAATTTGAGTAATGTTTATATCCAATCACTTTTTCAAGTGGTACATATTCGACACAATTTTCAAAAACAAACATGAAATCAAGTGTTCTAATTTTTGCAAGTTAGTCTATATTTGCATGTGTGCGCATCACATAGTAATGCTAGCCTAATAAACAAGAACAAGTGCATATAAGGTACATAAGATTCATATCATGATTAGTAGAGGCCGATCTTTGATCAAGCGAGCGGGGGTGCTCAATTCATGACCTTGCCCTCTTGTACCCAAGTTCCCGAGCCGAGACAATCTTGGTGATGACGGACACGTGGCCTTTGACACGATTACAGAGGTTTCTTAGATTTTCCAAAATATTTAGGTGGCAACTCTGTATCTGGCAAAGCGATTTATTTTTGGCAATTTGATTCAAAATTGATTTTCTAGAAGATTTACCGAATTTAGACTCTTTGGTGTTTATCTATTTCACATTGCACTTGTGAGATTAGATTCAAAATCGCGGGAGTCCAATATTATAGGACTTATTTCGACTTCTGAAAGGGGGTGCGAAAAGGTCGGGCTACACCATGCCATGCAAAGTATCATTTTTATCATTTGAAAGCCAACATGCACAATGAGAACTTGAAATTTCAATGAATTCAATGATTTTAAACCAAGTTCATGGGGCGGTAAATACGACTCAGGTAATCCCTAGGTTGGTGTCTGCAAGTAGGCATTACTAGCACTACCAAATCCCCACTTTACTGGTAGCTAGCCGAAAGGCACGTGGTACCTCCTTCATACGTGTTTTCGGTCTTTCACCCTGGACACTCGGGCCAACTTAATCAATTTCATCTACACCTCCTATCCGGACTTACTAACGTAATTTCCCCAAAACATTTTGATAAATCTTATTTCACAACATTTCTTTTTCAATGCAAAGTTTCCAATCCCAATTCAATGTTTGTAACAAGCAAAAGTATTGAAATGCCAATGCAATAATTATCAATGCCATGAAACACCCTTTCTATTTTCACTTATTCCATGCAATGTTCCTATAGTAATCACAATACTCATTTCTCTTTTCAATGACATTCCTTATGATAGCCATATGTTCATGTAAATCCTTCAATGAATAATCAACAATCTCACACTTCATGCATTCTTAGCGATTTAATCATTTCATAACCACATCAACATTTTGACCAAAGACTTTCCAAAATCAACAATTCTCATATTCCATGAAATTTGTCATTTGTTAAATAACATAAGAGATTTTTCAATCATTCATTCATTTTAACATGGTAATAGGTAAACACCCATAAATTTTCAACATCTCTCTCAAAAATCTCAAGTTTCTAGGTTTTTGCCAAAACTAGGCATTTCTTCATCTTACAAAAAGAAAATCTCTCCAAAGCATCCTTTCTCACAATGTAGTCAAGCAATCAAGAATTTTAAGAGAAATAAGGTATAAACCCATTTTCAAAATCATCACTACATATGAACCAAAATCAAGCTCTTATACTTTCCAAAAGAGTTCCAAACTAACATAATCTTATAAATATATATATAACTATAAGAAAATCCCTACCTCAAGTTTCAGAGATCAAAAGAGATTATGTCCCCAAACCCAACGGTGTCAAAACCCGATCTTCACCACACACAACGAAGCCCTCGCTTAGCTCTCCAAAATTAGTGAAGGATGTTGGGTCAAAACTCCAATGGATTGGAAGAAATCAAGAGTTTTTGGTGTTTGGTGAAGGTTTTTAGAGAGAAGGGAGATGAAATAATTTTTAAAGAGAGAGAGAGATGTGTAAAAAGTGAGATACACTCAGCCAAGAAGAGAGAAAAAGACAGATTTTCGGACTCAGCTTTATCTCGCACGTGCGGCACCCTCATCCACACGTATGACACTCTCTCCCGTACCTCATTCCGCTCGTGCATATAAAGCAGAATGTACCTTCCACTTGCACTGAAGAAGGCGAAAGAGGTAGTTGTTGTCTCTGTTGTTATCTCATGGACTCGGTTAAAGCTTCTAACATTCTTTCCATTCTGGCATCAAAGGATTCAATCACATCATCACTTCTTGTTCTTTCCGTTTGCTGTAGGTAAATAGAGCACTAATAAACATAGGCAAATAGCTCGTTTATAGTTTTGACAATGCTCAATTTCATTTCATGTCTAATTGTTTCAGACATGTCGTATAATTTCACATACACTAACACATGCTGATGTAATGCCCCTAATTCTGTCTAGGACATCTAGTAGCTTATATGGACTCATGTGTACGGTATAACTCGTGCTCTGATACCACTCTATCACGACCCAAACCCGCTACTATAGGTATGACCGGCCAGTAATCCTAAGATTACCGAAGGCCACTTAAATAGATTTACAAAATTAGGGGTTGGCGGAAACAAATATCATAATTATTCTGTCTATAGAGGTGTGCAGACATATATGCATGAAAAGAGTAATAAATTATTTTAATTAATAGTCCGTAGCAATTTCGTACGTAAGAAGGGAAAAAAAAAATTGGCACTTTGATGGGTAAGCATGTGTTTTGTAATACTAAATAATTGGTACGGATGGCCCGATAGATTCACATGGATAACTATCCAAAATGTAGTCCATACATTTAACCACCAACTTCAATTTAATTATCTGTAATTTTTTGCCATTATAAATTATTTCTGTAATTATTTTTTTGTTTTTGTATGTGTAAGAAAAAAAAGGAGTAAATAAATTTAATTTTTTTCTTACTTTTTAGAACGATCCAAAATGATCCAAAATCAGTTTGTTGTTTTAATTTTATAAGAAAGCCTCTATGCCCTCTACAAAATGGACGAGGGTTACTAGTTCACATAGGAAATAACTTTGTCATTAAGGTCCGTAATGGCACAAGTTGGAGCAAATCAAATTAACTTATATTTTCCATAAATCTGAACAATTACATCACCAGGTTAAAAAATCTCTCTCAATGTTTGCACCCTGTATTTTATATTGTCCAAATCAATCGCGTCACCCTCTACTAAATATCTCTCAACCTATTTTATTTTTCGCCACTAATTTGAAAGAATTAAGACAACAAGTATACTTCTTGTTATGTGTTTTTTAGATTAAGACAATAGAGCAATGACAACAAAGAACATTCACGTTGAAAAGATAAGAGTCTTCACATAGGAAGTAAATGAGACACAATCTATAACTCCACGTATAGATGAAATCTCAGCTGTTCTGTTATACGAATAAAAATAAGTGAACAAAATGAGAAAATAAACAGTAATAATCAAGTTGAGACACAAATATATAGTTGATAAAATACAAATTGAATTAATGTTTCACCTCTACAGTTCCTTCAACCCTGGAAAATATAAATTGATAAAAAATTAGAGGGTTGCTTTTATTTGTGGCTTCTGCAAATTTTAATGTTTATTTTACAAGTACAATTCGATATATGTATATTGTTGATATTTTAATATTTATTGTTTCATTGAAGCAAGTATATGGCAACTGTTCCAATTATCTTTTACTGGGGGGGAAACATAATTCGGGATCCCGATGAAGGTGTGTCATATGATGCTGAGCCGAAAGGGATATATGGGGTGCAACTTGGCACCACACTTAGCAATTTGGAGGAGATGTTTATATCCAAGGTGGCAAGTTACGGGGAAACAGTCTGATTGATCTTCAAATGTAGATATCCTTATCGCCAGTGGCAAGCAACCAGCAAATACAAAATATTACCAATCAATGACAATGAGGCGTTGAACACCATATTAAGTATCGGTGGAAGTTTCCAACCACCAAATTGTTTGGAAGTGTACATTGAGAAAGAGGTTGTACACAATCTTCCGAATATGACACAGATGGATTCTCATCCGTTCACTACATTGCTGACACATGGGATTGACACGACAGCGTTTCAATCTCCTATGTATGAATCAAATGAATGTTATGCAGCAGGCTACACACAACAGACATTTCATGGCCATAGTGGAGAATCAAGTTCACGTGGTGGATATGAGACTGAATTTCACAATAACACCGAAGATGTGCCCACCTACAGCCATCATACCACTCCAGTTGAAGTTGCTGGTAATATGGCTGAAACGGTGAATTATGTGCAGTTTGCTGACAGTGACACGTACGGTCCTGATGTTGCCCTAGACAATGATGAGAATGAAATGTGTGATGAAGAAAATTTATTAGGCGGATCAGATGATGATGATGATGAAGAAGATGCTGCCGACGCTCCCGTTGATATTCAGAATGCCCCCATTCCACCTAGACCTGAAATTCCTTTTTATGAAAATATTCATATAGGTGGTGATTTTGACATTAGTAACCGCGATGTCGTTCCCCGTAACCGAATCTGGAATGCTGAAAATCCAGAGTTGGACAAAGGGATGGTTTTCGTTAATAAGAAGTAACTCGTACATGTTTTGAAATTGTACCATGCAACAAATAATCGAGAGTACAAAGTCGTAACCTCCAAGCGAGACGTTTGGGTTTGTGCTTGCAAGCACGATTGTAGATAGTGGTTGCATGCATCTCTTACTAGGATACATGGTCTTTTTGAAATAAAGCAGTATAGGGGTCCTTACCATTGTTTATACCCACGAATGAACAGGGACCACACTAATATTAGCTCCAATTACATTGCTTCTCATTTTTTGGGACAAGTTGCACTGAGTATACAAAATAAATGCTTACATTTATATACATATTTGTTTGTTTAAAGTGTTCACACCAAAATAATCCGACTCATAGGTATTATCGTATGCAGAATGAACCTGATATGCCCATTAAGAATGTCATCGAAGATATCAAAAAAACAATGAACTATAGTATATCATACAAGAAGGCGTGGCATGCAAGGGCAAAGGCAATTAGAATGGTATTCGGGGATTGGGATGAATCATATAGGATGTTGCCTAAATTCATGCATGCTTTACAAACATCTAATCCTAGCACCATCGTACAATAGAAGCATAGATATACCGGAAGCACAATCATTATGGCCGTTTTTCACTTTGTTTTCTAGTCTTTCAAACCCGTCATCAATGGATTCAGACATTGTAGGCCTGTTATAACCATAAATGGTACATTCTTATACGAAAAATACACTGGTGTGTTGCTTGTAGCAACGATTGTCACTGCCAATGGCAAAGTATTACCGCTTGAATTCGCTGTTGTCGACAGGGAGAGTTTGGAGTCTTGGTCGTTCTTCATTTCAAATATCAAGGAACATATTGTCATGGACCGATATGGAGTAACTTTGATATCTGATCGAGCTGAGAGTATTTTAGCTACTGTGAGGCGGCATTGGCTGAATTCCTCGCTCCAATTTGTTGGATATCATCGGCATTGCCTTCGATATGTTTGTAGTAACTTTAACACTAAGTTCAAAAATAAGGAGCTGAAACAACTTCTATGGAAAGCAGGGAGTGCTCATCAACGACGAAAGTGTAATGGTTACTTACAACAAATACAGGCTATTGACCAAGAAGCCATCAATTGGGTTTACAAGATGAATCCTGTGGAGTGGGCCCTTTCGTATGACGGTGGATATCGGTGGGGGGTATTGACCAGCAATGATGCAGAGTGCTTCAATAGAGTCTTGAAAGGTACAATGAACTTACCTATCTCAGCTATGGTTGAATTTACATTTCGGTGGCTCGTAAAATATTTTGACGAGATGGGAGCCCAAGCTGAAATAGATGTACGAAATGAGTTCCAATACCCTAGAGAGATGCAAAAAACTATTGAGGATGGCATTGCAAGGGCAAATACTTTCAAGTTGATATCGTATGACAGGTTAGTTTGTAATATAAACTAAATTGTTGTTATTATGTTGTGAAGTTAAGTACACCTAAAAACACGAACTTGATTAGTTTCTATTACAATTTTCTGATAGGCCACGCCGCGTATTTGAGGTGCAAACATCTTTTTGCCATGGACGAGGTCGCAATACACAAATTGTGCGGATGAATCAACCCACATGCAGTTGTGGGAAATATGAGATACGACACTATCCATGTTCCCATATGCTCGCTGTAATGTCTGAATGCGATGACAATTCATTCGAGTACGTTGATCTAGTATATAGGCTTCCTGTATACATGAGGGTTTGGGAAACTAAATTCAATCCAATACCGCATCAAGATTATTGGGATGATCCGTAGTGGACCTTAATGCCTAATGTACTTCGTCTACGAGAAGTAAAACGGGGTCGTGCATCTATGTCTCGTATTCCGAATGAGATGGATATATCAGATAGGCGTTTGACTGCTCGTTGCAGTGAGTGCCAGCAGACAGGTCATGGCAGGCGAACATGTCCGGCGTGACTTGGTCGATGAAGACTATGTAATACTTACATATTGTAATAGACCATTTTTTAATTCTTTATTTGTAATAGATCATTTTATTCTTTATTTTGTAATTCATTATTTGTAAATGGGGTCGTACATTTAAATAGATCATTTTTTATTTGTAATAGATCATTTCTATTTTTTAATTCTTTATATATTGTAATTGTTTGATTTCCTTGACAAAATTTACAACTAACATACTAAACAAATAAATTAAACTAAATGATAATGCAAAAACATTTAACCATACCACATAGGTCTATGTTTTTATCCTCTACTTGATTGAAAATACCTATTACAAAATTTTAGTAAAAATCACATAGTTCTTCAACCATTTTAAGATTTTAATGTTTCGACTGCTGCAAGCATTTTTTACATTTACAATTTATGAATCAGATCTACGTAATCTACAAATTTTATACTTTATTGGAACTTTTACCATTACAAAATCAATAATGAAGTTTTGTCAAATATGCCATAAATGTAATTAGCAACCTCTTATTGGAAAAAAATTCTCATTCCATTTTTTCGCAAATATTTATGTACGAAAACTATCCACATGTTACTGGTCATTATTAAGCTTATGTAACTGAGACCCTAAAATGATTTTGTAAAAGATTTCTATATTAGTTATAGCATAGATAGCGATAGGTTCTGTTGAATTGCTTATATTTAATGGCACATAAATTGATAAATTTAGATTTTAGTGAATTGCTTCCATGTTAATGGCACACAAATTGATACTTTTAAAATAATCGACCACATTTGTTTTTCAAGTCGTCATGTACGGAATAATTTGAGTTTAATTGTCATAGTTAAATTACATGCTCACCAATACAGTTTTTTAAAATGTATTTGTTTTTCAACTGTGCAGGCTTCATGGCACATCTACCTGATGAAGTCCCACTTTTGAGTCATCCACATCGGGCTGACAGTATATGGGAGGACCCGGTATGCAATAACGTTTGTTGGACTTTACGCTTACAATGAAAATACCCTGCATTTTGTTTTATATTACGTGATAATGCTATAATTTAAACTACTCTTTCTGTTATGCAGGACCAGGCACGCACCGTGGTGACATGCCGGCGAGGAGATTCCAGCCTATGGGAGCGTCCATTAGACCATAGAGTCTTGCAGTGTCTACTGTGCACGGGATTCTATGGTGTTTATCGTATAGGCCATATCAGACTGGACCACCCACTCATTACCGCTCTCGTCGAGAGGTGGCGCACAGAGACTCATACATTTCATTTCCCGACCGGTGAGGCCACCGTCACATTGCAGGACGTATCTGTCCTATACGGTCTACGGATTGATGGGCAAGCAATTACTGGACCTGACCCACCATTGACGAGAGATCAGTGGATAGCCCTATGTGCTGAGCTATTGGGAGTAGCACCTATACCTGCAGACTTACATGCAGGTAGAGTGAGGGTGAGGTGGCTGTCCGAACAGTTTCAGGGCCATCTTCCAAATCATGCTCTAGATGAGTTAGTACAGCAGCATGCCCGAGCATATATTTTGTGGCTTAGTGGGGGGGTACTTCTCCCTGATAAGTCATAGAACCTGCTCAAGCTAATGTACTTGCCACTGTTAAAAGACATTGACGTGATCAGCCAGTACAGCTGGGGCGCCGCGGCTTTGGCATGTTTGTATAGGATGCTATGTCGAGCAGCTCAGGTGGGTGCAAATCAGATCGGAGGACCCCTTGTCTTGCTACAGGTTAGTAAGAATTTTATTACATGTCAATTCATATTGTATGGTATATATCAGTATTGTAATTGTGTTCAAACTATTGCAGATTTGGGCGTGGGAGAGATTGATTCGCATTGCCCCGTCTAGGCGGCAACTGGTTTCTCCTGGTGAGGTTCCCATCGACCAGGGAGACATACAGTTGCCGGCCGAACCTCGAGGTAGCCGGTGGAGGATTGACATGGGCCACGGGGTCGTATCGACCCACGTAGTCATCGTGTATAGAGACCAGCTTGACCGGATGATAGAGGGCGAGGTATGAAATTTAAATACCTAAATTTTAATTGTCATATGGAGTGTATATGTTCATGAGCGATTTTTAATAGACTTGTCGTTATTGTAGTTTATCTGGCAGCCTTATGCTGGGGTTCTCGGTACGCTCCCAGACTATTGCCGACTAGGTGAGGAGATATGGATGGCGAGAGTGCCACTCATTTGTTTTGATGTGGTTGAGTGGCATCTCCCTGATCGTGTCCTCCGACAGTTTGGTCGGGTCCAGTCCGTGCTGGATCGGTGTGACACCGAGTGACGGTTGCACGTGACTGATAGACGTGGCCGAGCCGGCACTAACTGGAGTGTGCATCATATGCAATACATACAGCTGTGGGATGCCTGTCGCGACAGTATTGTATAGGCTGACTGGAGCGATGGGGTCCTCCCCTCTCCCGACCCTTACATGTTATGGTATCGGCGACATACACACCTACTTGTCGGTAATCCGAGCCACCTGTCTGAGGCTGGATATCAGGGAGTTGGGCCTTCTCTCGAGGCATTGGTGAGTATCATAGTATGTGTCAGATAATTGTTAATATCATAATTGATTTACTTTCAGTCAACTATAGCCTAATATATCTGATTTTTTGTTCTGGTGGTTCGAGTTGGGAGGTCATATCACTTGGTTGAGGACGCCCTTTTCAAACGTGATGGATAGCTTAGTCTGCAAGCCCTTGCAGAGATTCGAGAGTTATTGTACGAGGGGATCCAGCATGCCCATCGGGTAGATCGTCTGCATTTTGGGGACTACGGTGTACACAGTACAGCAACTGCTCTAGACACATTAGTCTCGTCCACGTCAGTGCCTCCCACTCCAGCGCCAGCCACAGCAGGTCCTTGGACTTCAGTCACCCCACCGCATGATACCCCATACATTTCTCCAGATTTCCCACACGTACATCCTACCCAGCATGCTGACCCTGATTGGACACCGCCCCGGTTCATGCATGATATTGTTAGCCCACCCACCCAGTTACCACCTGCTTTTCTGGGGACTACTTCGATCGCGCCCATGAGTACACATGATGCAGTTCTCACTGACATCTCCCACGTTGACGATGAAGCCCATATTGAGCCCTCCCAGAGCGCGAGAGAGAGGCCGAGGTTATGGTCGTAGGGGACGTCGCGGTCGAGGTCAGGGTGCTAGCAGAGGCAGAGGTCAAGGTCCAGCTGCAGATCGTGATACAGTTGCACCAGATGAGGGAGTTTCACAGCTCACAGCAGTATCCGATCTTCAGGCAGAGACAAGATCAGGGGAAGCAGATGCAGGAGAGGGGGGGTCACACTCACAGGCTCCACAGGCAGTCAGTGGAGGGCCACATGCAGGGGAGGAAGTGCCAGATATTCAGAGAGTCTACCGCAGGAGACCGATGAGGGAGGTCCATGGTCGGGGTTGTGGGATTGAGGGCAGGTTAGGGCATTAGCGGTTGTGATATGGACTGTATAGTTTTTTTTTTTTTTTTGTAGTAGTAGTAATTGTTATAGTTTTTGTAAATCAAACTTGTACAGCTGATATAAATGTGTCATACTTATTTATTCGCAATTATAATTTCACAATTTTTTATTCTTACTTATTTTGATGAATCACACAAATCTCTTTCACATCTCTACCTCTCTCTCATTCTCCGTAGTCTCTGCATTATTTATAGTAATTTACGTTTTTTCCTCAATTTTACAAATTGAGACAACCATTTATAAACCAAAAAAATTATCGAACAAATTGAGACATCAATTTATAAAATTGAAGTTCAAATAAATTTTAAGAATTAAATTATAAATCCTAAACCCTAAAATAAAAATAAATAAGGTAGCGTTTGGTAACGTTTACGTTTTTGGTTTATGTTTACAAAAAAATTATTTTATGATTTTTGTTTATTTTTAGAAAAACATAAATTACAAACGCGTTTGGTTTGAACAAAATGTTTAAACAACCCATAAAAACATAAAATAAAAAATATGTTTGTTCAGGCCTAAAAACAATTGAAATATCTTCCTTCATTGATAAGTCGTGGATAAGCATTACAAATCCATTACAACATAAATGGTTTGGTCATTTATCCAAACAATTTCATTTATTATCATCATCATCTGACATCTCAATATCATATTCATACATAACATTCATGCTCCAGGCGAAGGACTAGTGTGCATCATCCATAAACTCATCTTTGGCACGCTCATTTGCGGTCTTCATTAGTGAGGACCTTTGCAAACTTTGGGTCATGCGATTAACTTCGTCGCGGATACGATACAATGCCCTTTGCAACAACTGTGGAGTGTCAGTTGGCATACGCATGGCTAACCGACGAGAAAATTTAATATTAACTTCACGACATAACTCAGCGAGAACATTTGCTCGAGTTATGCAAAATTCCCACTCAGCTCTCATGGTATTGATGGTGGCACGTGAGTAACGCAAATTTGGATTTAATGGGTATTGAAATTCATCTCCATCTGCAACCCAATAGCGACCCATTGCTGAATATAGATCAACCACCGTATATCTCATGATGATATCGCTCGAAATAGCTGTAAAACGTTTGTTGTGGTATGATGCGATATTTATACCATATATACACATGGTAGCTGTATGTATGAAATTATTGTAAACAATTATGACAACTATGCATCAGAGTTGTCACGTCAACTTTGATGACCTGAACAACTATGCATCAACTTGATAGGAGTTGTCACTTTGACTTTTATGAATTGCATAATTTATTGTTATTTCAAAACAAAAAGTAAAAAAATTGTGAAAAAATATTTCAAAAAATTAATAAATACATAAAAATACAAAAAAAAAAATGTACTGAATGCTTGTATTTTTTTTAATAGTTTTGGTATTTAGTGAATTTTTAAAAGATTTTGTTTACAATTTTTTTACTTTTTAAGTGTATTTATGTTAGGTGTGTCTAAAAAGTAAAAAAATTGCTTAAAATATTAAAAAAATTAAGTAAAAACAATAAATAAAAAAAAAACACGAAAATTAAGAAAGTAGAATTTTCTGAAAAATCTTTTCTGAAAAATGAAAACAAGCAAGCTGATTAACCGACTAAATGTCTGAATTAGTCAAATTTCTCTGTCTAAATTTTTTAAAAAAAAATAAATGTGAAATTATAATTTAAAAATCCAAAACAAACTCCACGCCCGTAAAATTGGGTAAAAATGTATTTAACAAATATAACTGAACACAGCCTCAATTTTGACTACAATATTGCATTGAAATATACTTACAATTTCAAGTACTAAAATATTTTAATTGATTATAATATTTTGTCTCAACCAATTTATGAGCATTTCCTGTTCGATCACATGCATGCCACTGACCTTATACAGTGCATTCGGCTGCCAGGACTCCACTTTTGTCAAGTCATGAACGAATCAAAGGCCTGTAGCATCGGCTGTTGTGCCGCAGATGGTGTCAGCCTGGCTACATTATTAAATGTAATTTTACCTTCTTTCAAAGAAAAGTTGAAAATTAAGAGGTTGTTTGGGATGATCTACAATATATTTTTCTACCCATTGTTCAAACCACTTTTTCTACAAAATTTTTTACTTTTATGTATTTATTAATTTGTTGAAATATTTTTTCACAAATTTTTTTACTTTTTAGGTGTATTGAAATATTTATTAATTTATTGTTATTTTGTTCTGACACCCCCTCAAAATTTGTATGAATTGCATAATTCACATAGGCACAGTAGGTAGGTATGTGACTTTGTGCAGCGATGCAATGATATATCTGACTTTGTGCAGTGATACAGTGATGCATGTGACTTTGTGCAGTGATACAGTGATACATGTCACTTTATGCAGTGATGCAGTAATGCATGTGACTTTCTGACTTTGCGATGCTTGTATACGTTGTGACTTTTTTCCTCACATTACGTGATGCATGTGACTTTGTGCAGCGCAACTTACATGCTTTGTTTTTTCCTCACATTTTAGAACTCATCTAAGTCACATTAATACGACTGTGAAAAGAAGCAGAAAATGCATAACAATGAAAATGGGATGACTGTGAAGTTCATTAAGTGAAAATAAGATAAAATGTAGGCTGCAAAGTTCCAATCGTGTTTACATATCAAGTGACCATTTTATTATTTTGGTAAAAAAACAACGATAGTTTTGTAGGTCGAAGTAAGTTGGACGGTTGTGTATTTACTTGCACTCTGTTTCATAGTTGTTTATGAACAATATTACTTTAAAACAAAGAAAATTAAAGCCGTTGTTTCATTTTATGATTTCATTTATAATTTTTTTAAAACACCTATGTGTATTGAAATCGTCAATTCCAAGTGACTACTTACTGTATTACAAAAGTAAGCATGAAAAAATAGTTTCATGTGGCGATGTGACAACTCACTGCATTTTGTTTTATTTGACAACTCACTGCTCGAATATGAAGGGATTGCATTGTGATCCTCTGGCCTACAATTATGATTTTATCTGACAACCACGTCCGTGACTACATCACAGGTACACAAAGTCCCGGGTACTCAAAATTGCATGAAATGAATAACATAAAATAATATCAC